CCTCTGGAGCCCACTCCCCCTAAACTGGCCTGGGGTTATGTGGACGATGAACTTCTGTAGCAGCAAAGCATAGCATGCTCTCATTTTCTGAACTACCTCCCTTCCATCCCCTGCTCTAAGCCCACAGGCTTTTGTATCCTCTGGCAAAAGATGAAACTGAAGCACAAAAACGTTTGGGCCATGTGTTAAAATTTATACACCCAGTAAAGGGGTGATTTTTCAGAACTTTTAGGGACTAGATTGATGTCTCTGGCAAACAACAAAACGTCAGCAAAGACCTAACCAGAGGAGACAGAGATGTGAAACCTAGTCAATTGGAACAGGAGCCAGCTGAAATGATCAGTAATGGTCCCTCCCACCTCTGAGACCTGCTCTTTAATGGCGGGACCAGGAGGTCCAGAGTCTTCACTCTGGGATGCACCCCATTGTTGTCTCAGGTGGTATGTGATAGCCGATTTCAAGCTCTTTTACACAGTTCAGTTCATAAACTCCTCCCTTTTAGTTTCTAGAAATGCAGCCGATGCTCAGCTCTGGGCTAGAGAGAGAGAGAGAGAGAGAGAGAGAGAGAGAGAGAGAGAGAGTTTTAGAAAGAAACAGTGTTAGGTGTATCTGGGACAGAACTGCTTATGCGTTATAATAAGGTGAGGCCCATCCACAAGTAGCTCAGAGCAGCTGTCTACGCAACCTCTTCCAGAAATGTACAGAGTGTGTTTTCAAAGTATTCTCTCTCTTTTTTTTTTAATTAAAGGAGTGGGCAAAGCTAGGAGACAGGGGAGCATGGAAAGCCAGGCGTGGACCCACTGAAGAACCGTGAGATTTCAGAGCTCCATTGCCAGAGCCAGAGCTCTAGGTGTGCTTCAGACTCAAGCTGAGCGACCCATGTCACACTGCTTTCCCTAAACTCCTTAGTCTGTAAAGCGAGTACAATAATAATAAAATAATAATAAAGGTAGCCATGAGGGTTAAAAGGACTCACGCTGGTATCCAACAGCTGAGCACAGGGAATGAAATGTCTGTTTGGTCAACAAGGGCTGTAACATCCTCACCACCATCATCACAAGATCTCAGAAACTCTTTGAAATTGTGAAACACACACATACATACGCACATACTAAAGACCCAAAGTAGGGAAGCTCCAACACTTCTAACTTCCAAAATGCAGAGAAAGAGGCAGCAGTGTTGTGAATCTGGACCAGGAGAGGCAATTAGAGAGCCAGAGAAAGCTCCCACAGGAGGGGCATGAGCTGTTAGCACTGGGGATTCCTAAGGGGTAGGACAGGGAAGTCACAGAGAACAGGCAGGTGGGTCATGTCGATCTGATGAGAGGCTCAGCCAGGAGGTTAACAGTGGCTGTAGAACACCAAAGTGGGTGGCACATTTCCAAGTGAGAGGGCATCTCAATCTGACACCTTGCTTTTTCATGGCCTCTTCAGGAAGTCTAAGATGGTCAGAGAGTGGTGGCAATTGATGTCAAGCATTCTGAGTTATCCTGACCAAGGCTCTGTCTAGGACCTGTTGGTTGGCACCGGGAAGGCAAGAGCCAGGGAGGCCAGGTGAGGGGAGCCGTCAGGGGTGAGCAGGCTCATGTCCTGCTGGAGAGAATGGAAACACACAACCTGTTTGCAGAGCAACCAGGCAGCGTGACTCAGAATGCCTTCAATGATCACCCATAGCTACTAGAAGGCTGGGGCCAGAGGATGGAAGCTGCAGGCCAGGCCAGTGACTTAGCAAGACACTGTCTCCGAAAGGAAAACGAGCTGGGTGTAGCTCAGTGGTGGAGCGCTTGCTTGCTCAGCCCGGTTGAGGCCCTGGGGCATCTCTAGCACCCATCCTCCAGGTCACCTATCTGGGTACAAGCTTGGGAGCAGTACTGGATGGAGACAATCAGAGATTTGGCCAATGAAAGGAAAGTTAGCGGTGTTAACGTAACAAAAAGCACCATGCAAGAAGACTGAAAACAACCCATAACTTACTGACCCGTTACATTTAGGTAGGGAGATTATGAAAAGTTGTGTTTTCACTTCATTTTAGTTTTAAGATTTTCCCAAATTTTCCCAATATATTATGAAAATATATTTTATATGGGTAAATAAATATATGAATAAATAATCCATTTATACGAATAAATGGATTTTGAGTAAAATAGTCTGTGTGATACCGTAGTGGTGAATACAGGACACGGTCATCTCCCCAGCTAATGACAGATTGAAATGCGTGTGTCCCTTTAGATAGAGTGTTTGGGAAAGGCCTCTGAACAGAGATGGGCAGAAGTGCGAGGCAAGCCAGCGGCCGTCTGAAGGGAAGGCTTTCTAGGAGGGAGCGGCAGCAAGCGTGAAGACCCTTGGACAAACCCGCTGAGGGCCACTGAGGGAGAGCAGAGGCCTGAACAGTGGCACTGAGGCTAGGGTTACGGGAAGACTGGAGCATGGGCAGGGTTTTTGACTTTCATTGTGTAAGACAATGTCTCCCTGTGCTGTCCAGCCTGGCTGCAAACTCCCAGGCTCTGGTGATCCTCCTGCCTCTGCTTCCTGAGTAGCTGGGAGGACAGGCATGTCCTGCCGTGCTGGCTTTCTCTGGGCCTTTGAAAGAGCTTTGCCTCCCTCCCTGATCTCTTTCTCTGAAGATGACGGAGGTCATCAAGGGATCTTTGAGCAGCAGTGCAACATCTGATTGCCATGGTCTCAAGTTTGCCTGCACGGTGGAACTCTGAGGAGCCTTATAGCAACATCAGCATCTACCCACCACTCTGAGTCAGCTGGGGAAGTTTGAGCATCAGTATTGAAAAACAGGGGTCAGGAGAAGCCAGGGATTTAAAAGGGTCAGGCTGGCTGGTGAGGTGCAGAGGAGCAGGCTGGAAATGTGACTGGAGACTGCGGAGAAGCTGCTGCAGTGCCCAGCAGGGAGGCGAGGCCCTGGACCCCTAGCAGTGATGGACATGGTGCGGGAGCTGTGTTACGGAAATGGCTCAGAGTGGACCCCGAATCTGCTGTCCGCAGTAACAACCAACCGACAAACATTGCCTTGTTTCTAATCTGGTCACTAGCGATAATGAAGGTGACTTCAGGTCTCTGTCTTAATCTGTTTTGTGTTGCTTAACAGAACGTCCGGGGCTGAATAGTTTACAAAGGACAGACTTCTTATAGTTCTAGGGTCTAGGATGGCCAGTGCCAAGGTGCTGGCTTCTGGTGAGGGCCCCCTTGCTGCCCCATCCTTTGACAGAAGGCTGGAGGAAGAGACGGCACACAGGACGCTGAACTCACTTTTGGGAGTGGGCAGTGCTAGGGATTGAACCTAAGGGAACCCTGAGCTACATCCTTAGCCTATTTTATTTTATATTATTTTATTTTGAGACAGGGTCTTGCTAAGTTGTCCATGCTGGCTTGAAACTTGTGATTCTCCTGCCTCAGCATGCTGAGTAGTTGGGATTAAAGATAGATGTGTTGTCATGCTTGGCTGAACTCACTTTTGTAATTAGCCCACTCTTGGGATTAATAACACACTTTCTAGCAGAACAAAAGCAACCCATCCAGGAAGGCAGAGTCTTCAGGACTTACTTAGCCCTTCTTAGCTCCCATTCCCCACCTGTTGTCTGGGGAATGAAGTTTCCAACACACACACACTCTGGGGACATAGTCAAACCTTCCCAGCTTCCCTGCATGCTTTGGTTCTGGTTCTCAGCATGCCGAGGACCTGGGTGGAGAGGCGAGATGCTGCTGCTCAGAGGACGCCCGTGGGAAGGCGTCAATGTGCATGCATTGCATCTCGCCACATTCAGCTGTCCAGGGAGCAGCTGATACATTGGTGGTGAATTCCCTCTCACCAGGAAGGAGAGGAGGGCGAGGAGCTAAGATGTGTACTGGGGCCTGGAGACCATGGTGCCTCCGGAATCTGTGGGAAGGAGGAAGGTGAGAATATGGGTCAAGTGAAGCCGGGTAGAATTAATGGATGGCAGGTCCTGGTGAGGTCAAAGAATAGTTGATCAAAACACCACATTGTGTACTTTGAATACACAACATTTCTATTTGTCATTTATTCCCCAGTAACATTGAGGAGAGAAAGAATTAATGGGGTCAGGACTGAGAGAAGGCGGGTGGTGGATGCTTAAAACAAAAACCGTGAAGGGTTGTTAGGAACAAGGGCTAAAGTGAGACCATAGCAATGGCCAAGGGTGGACAGAGAGCAAAATCATTGAAGGAAAAGAGGAAGTCATGAAAAGCAAAGTGCACTACACCTGGAGCCAGCAGCAACAGGTTTGAGTTCTAGTTCAGTCCCTGAGTAGCTGTGTATTCTTTAAAAAGTGCCCTACCATTGTGAACCTCAATTTTCCCCACAATGAGGGTGGGGGTATTGTCTACGTAAAAGCGTCCCAAAGCCTGGAAAATGCTCTTTCGATTTAGGGGATTGGAACCACTGTCAAAAGTTTCAAAAGACCCTTTCTAAAGTGTGTGAACTGAAGTCAAAGTCAACAGAACTGCAAACAGCAGCTTCTGGGATGCTGAATGCTAATGGACGATCAGAGGGAAACCATATAATGAAGCAGATGAATGGTAACTCTGACATTGTTGCAAGACTTTCTGGTTCATTTTCTGTGAATGGTTCTAGAAGCGCAGTGTTTTTTTTTAAGACATTGTTCCTTTTGCAGGTGAGAGGAGTGGCTTTGGTGTTAGGGAGTGGTCAGCAAACTGGGAGGGAAAAGATTGTCAGCAATTGACCTTGCAGTAGAAAAATGAATTCTACTCATTTGGACAAGTTTCTGCAGTTAGCTTTACACCGTGCATGCCCTGCTGTGTTTTTTTCTGGGTCCACATACTTACGGGGCACGGAACGATCATCTGATACACGTGTACAACATACAATAACCAAACTGGGGTAATCAGTGTTTCCATCTCCTCAAACACTCATCATTTCTCTGTTTGTTTGTTTTGGTGCTGGGGATGGAACCCAGGGCACTTGTTTTAGTCACTTTTCATTGCTGGGACATAATACCCAACACTTACAACTCAAAGAAACTTGCGCTGTTTATTGTGGCTCACGGTTCTGGTCCACAGTCAGCAGGTTCCAAGATGAGACAGCATGACGGAGGGGCATAACAGCCCAGCGGCTGGCATCCTGGCGGCCAGGTCTATCACAGAGAGTGGAGGGAGGAGCTGGGGGAGGGACATAAACCTTTCCAGGTCATGGCCCCAGGGGGGCCTCTTCTGATCAGACCCTGCCTCCTGTCAGCAGATTGGCTGTGAGTTCTCCTAACCTAATCACCTGCCAAAAGTCCCTCCTAGGATGGCAGAAGGCCCCGGAGGGCATCTAGATAGAAACTGTTCGTGCCAGCACTGTTCACTAAGCTGCACCCCCCAGACCTTATCTCTCTGTGCTGAGAACATTCAGATTCTTCTAGTTATTTTGAAACATAGCATAAGGGTTGCAGACTATCGCTCGCTCCCCCACCATGCAGCAGGGCACCCGCCTGAATTCCTGCTACCTAACTGCATTTTGGTGTCCCTTCCCTAACCTCCTGCCATCCCGGCTGCTCCCTGCCCTTCCCGTCTCGTGACCACCATACCTGTTTCTTCCTCTGAGGTTCCCTTTGGAGCTGCCATAGTGAGGAGCAACATGCAGGGTCCTTCCAACAACAGAGGGCTGCTTCTCGAGGCTGGGCCAGCCTGAGTTCTCCAGTCTTTTTCTCCTGCTGGCAGGCAGCATGTTCTAGAGGCCACGTCCTCTTGGAAGAGGTCATATGACCTAAATTCCTTGTTTTTCTCTTCTGCCTAGAACAGGAAGCTTTTTCTTACTGCACAGGCTGCTTCTGAACCCTCTGCTTCCTGTTAGTAGTTATCTAAGTTATCTTCTTCTAGTAAACAAGCCTTTATATTAAAGCTTCCCGGTTCAAGTAACTGATCTGGTTTCTTTCTCCTTGCTGGGTACATATTTGAAAAATCTCTCCACTAAACTGCAGCTGGCATCCACCAGAAGATCTCCAAGTATTCCTTAAAGTGGCCCCTTCTCTTGCCCACTAAACAAGAACCATTGCCAGCTCAGTCACCCTGATCTTTTGTGATCAGAAAGAATGAGAAAAATAGGTACAAACAGAGAGATCTGAGAAGTGAGAGGAGAGAGAAGGCTTAGCAAGAGAAGCCCGAGGGAGCTACGGAAAACAGGAGAGAACGAGGAAGACGGAGCCATGAAGAGAAAGCACTCTGGGCTGAGTGTAGACAGGGATTTGGATCCAAGAAATTTGGTGGAGTTTGTGGATTGTACTTCTGCTGATTTTGGGGGGAGTTACCAGTGAAGACTGAAGCTCGGTCTGTTTGCTCTAGGTTGTAGTACTCCTGACCCACACTTCTGTGTGGCGACTGGGCCACACAGGCAGCCAGCTTTTTACTAGACTTTTACTGATTTCTCTTCCATGTTAGAGAAACCTCTCACTTGTTAGACTTCTCTGGTGTCCAAGCACAAATATTTGGACAGTAACCACTTGAAAAGTCATCTAGAAGGTCTTTAACTCCCTGAGAAGTATCCACTTCCTACAAATATCTTCTTTTTTGTCTCTGGAAGACCCTTTCCTTTAGAACAAACTAAGCATCAACAAAACCACTGCAGGCATTCAACTCGATGCGGCATGGTACAAAGAACACAAGTTTGAATCTGTGTGTGATTTGCATGTGAGAATGTACAGCTGGCCTTCTTTACCCATGCATTTCACGTTCTTAGATCTAACCAACTACGATGGAAAATTAAAAAAAAAAAAATTTTTTTTTTCTAGGAACTGGGCCTGGTAGCACACACCTGTAATCCCAGCACTTTGGAAAGCTTAGGTAGAAGGATCAGGAGTTCAAGACCAGCCTGGCCAACTGAGTGACTTAGTGAGACTCTGTCTCAAAAGGAAAAATAACAAAGGGCTAAACTGGGCATGTGGTGGCGCACATCTGTAATCCCAGAACCCAGGAGGCTGAGGCAAGAGGATTGCGGTGATTTCAAAGCCAGCCTGGGCTACATAGGGAGTTCATAGTCAGCCTGAACTACAGAGCAAATCCTTGTCTCAAAAAGAGTGGGGGTTGGGGAAGAACCGGGGCCATGTGACAGGGTAAAGGACTTAGCTTAATGCTCAGTACTGCCCTCCTCAGAAAAAGATATCATATCTATCCTACACAGACTTTTACCTCGTTTACCTTAAATGATACATTTTAACAGCTATTCACATTGTGCTATGGACTCTAAGTAGCCTAGAGTTGATTTAAAGTGTGTGAGAGGATGTGTGTAAGTTATATGCAAATGCTTCCCCGATTTTCTCTAAGGCACTGAGCATCTGTGGATCTGAGCATCCTCAGGAGTGCCGGAAGCCATCCCCTGTGGGTACCAAGTGATGACTGTGTACTCTCAAAAGGAAACACTGGAAAGGCAGATAATAAAGCAGCAGAGATTATTACTTGTGAGGGGATAAGGAATGAGGAAAGAGCACCAGAAAGGAAGCGTACTTTATACAAGTTAAATTGAAGAGAAGACTGTGAGGGTTGTACGGTGGGCTGTGACACGAGGTAACCCTGCAGCGGGTTCTCAGCAGGGTGCTGGGGAGGTCATGAGCCTGATTAGTGGCCATCATTTCCATCCCCCGGCTCAGCATGCAAGCCATGGCTGCACGGTCTCCTAAGATTCTTAAATTTTGCACACACACTCTGTACTTTTCTTCTTCCCTTTGTGTGTGTGTGTGTGTGTGGTGAATTCTCAAGAAGAGAATGGTTATGAGTTTACTCACACTGGAGCCATTTTGGGTGGGATGGAGGAGACAGTGAGCTTCTCAGGATAGAGGGGATAGGAGAGTGGTCTTAAGGAGGAAAAGGAAATGGGATGAGCTCCTGGGGTTTGTTGCAAAGAAGGTAGGGAGAGCCTGGGGCCTGGCCTAGGACACAGATAGGTGAGTGAAGGGTGTTTCCCCAAATCCACCTTTCCATTCTTCCTCTTTTATAATGCCCACCAGGGAGTGGGTACCACTGTACCCATCTCAGAGTGGCTGATAAGTCCTAGTTTGCTTGCTTTCTTGTCCCTATTAGGAAGCAGCTCACAAACTCCTCCTCCTCAATTTTGCCCTTGACTGTCTGGGTGACTCTACACCCTGGACTTCACATGGGTCTATACCTTGGGACCTTTTAGTTCCTGTCTGTTAGGACTGTCTCCAGCGTCATGTGAGCAGTGTTTTGAATGTGTTTCTCAGCATGTGTTGTATGTTCTCTGACACCTTTTGTCTTGGCAGCATTTGCAGTGCAGGGCACACTTGTCTTCAAAGGAAGTGGCTTCTCCTGTGGCAGGTGAGAGATGGAGCCCGTATCAGCCACAAGGTAGCTGCTGTTAGATTCCGGCCAGTAGTGACAGAATTGGAATTTGTTAAAAAGGTTGCTCACAGAATCAGTAGGAAGGCGTGAGAAGCAGCCTTAGAAACCAGGGAGAGGAGGCAGCAGGATGTGTCCAGGATGCCACCATCATTGCTAACACAGTCGCTGTTTTTAGCCAGTGATCTTAATGCTAGACTGCCCCAGCCAACGCTGCGGGTCAGTGTCACTGTGTGCTGTGACTTAGCAGAGTCCAGAGTCCTAGGTAGTGATGTCCTAGAACCTATGGCAGCCAGGGACAGAAGGACTTCTGCTGCTCAGCATTTGTAGTACATGTGGGCTGGCTGATGATAGAGGCCACATAGAGGCACGTATCACACGTCACACTGTAGTTACTGTTGACATCCTGATGCTGGCAGGATGCTCTGATTCACAGTGGATAATTCCTCAAAATTAAGATGGGGATTTTGATCTGGAAAGCAAGGAGGGAAATAAAAGGATGTCCACTGCCATGCTGGAAACTGGGCAGTGGTGTCTTTGGCCGTCCAGTGGCTGTCCCTCTCCTCCCCCGTCTCCAGCTGAGGTCGGGCCCGCCCAGGTCCCATGGTGCCTCAGGACCTACAGGTGTGTTTCTCCCTTCCAGGGGCTGGAGTCTTGCCATTCTTACTCAACTCCGGCCTGCCTCTCTTTGTCTTAACACTTGGCCTCCATCCCCGCCTTCTCCTGGCCACACTTCCTGGAGTCAGATTTCACCAGCGAAGCCAGTCAGAGATCTGCACACTTGGCTGGAAAGGACTTTTTATTTTCCTCCCTTCTTGGGTCATCTCTTTGAGGGTTTTTCCTCTCCTCTTTGGATGTGAAAAGTGTTCAGCTCAAGCAGGCAGACTGAGATTTGTCAGCTGTCAACTCGGGCAAGTGATCTGCCTTCTCCAGCCTTGACCTTAGCTGTGGAACCATGATGATCAGGAATCTAACTCCGCCATTCTTTATTTCTAGTTCTATTATTGCAAATCCTGGGCTCTCTGATTCTAGTCTGCATTCTGCCTATCTGTTTTGCTCATTTTAAAATCGCCCTAATAAAAAGGGGAATTTCCCATTCGTTGCTCACCCAGGAACCCTCCCACTGTGTATCATGTGGACATTGCCCTAAATCATTCACCCTGAGGAGTTGGGCTTTTCTGGGGTTCACAAGAGAACAGTAAAGAGACTGGTCTCTCAACGTCGGATCCTTACCTTACCTCGAGGGAATCAAATGTCCTTGTTATTTTCTGGGTAAAAACCCAGATGATCTGGGTTACACTATGTTCCTTTCTGACATCATGGGCTGCAACCCTAGAATCATCTCTGCTCCTTGGTTTTATACAGAAGGAGGAAAAAAGCCATACAAAGCGACCTTTTGTTTAATTTATATACCAGAGGATCCTCTTGCAGCTTTTTCTATCCCCGCCCTCCCACCAAGTTGCTTTGTTTCTTTTGGGTTTTTATTTTTAACACAACGGCCACAAAAACAGAAGCCTTTTACTCAGAGCTTGCCCTGTGTGGAGCCAATGCTAGGAGCTGGCTGTGGTTGTCTCGTGGAGCCCTCTCCGTGAACACAGGAGGGAGGTACTGGCATCTTTCCTCCCAAGTGGGGTAAACTGAGGCCTGGAGAAGCCATCTAATCTCTTTCTCGGGAGCTTGCCTAGCAGGCAGCAAAGGACAGCAGTTGGGCCCTCTGATGGGTCTGGTTGGCTCTTTCCATGTCCCCTCGGCTTCTGCACTGTCAGGAACAAAGGATCCCTGTGTTCTTCAGGATTTCCTTCTCCCCAGCAGCCTCTGCATTCCTCCAGTTTAGCATTTCTGGACATTGCTGAGAAGGAGCTCATGGACACCAAGCAGACAAGGACTTCCGGACCCCATGAAGTTCCAGCTCTAACAGAGGCCACAGCTCAGAGAAGCCAGGTTTCCTGGACCCCATGCTTGTGCCGGCCCGTAGAATAGAAGGCTCCAGCCTCATCTCTGGGCTGTCTTAGGCTTTGGAGCAGAGGAGGGAGTGTGCAGGATGTGCAGGACAGATGTGCAGAGGTCTCTGTCTTCACCCCCTCCTCGGGGAACCATCATCTTTCCCTACCCCAGTTGCCAAGGACAGTCACACGCTCAGACTCCATATGGCACCATACATTGTCCCTTTTGCTTTAAACCAATTTCCCTTTTTCTAGTCCACCAAAAGAAAGGATAGTTATTATTTTAAAGATATCCAGTTCCTTTCTTTCTCTTCTTTGCCTCAGAAAAATTATGCAAGTGTTTCAGGTGGCTTGTCTTATCCATCAAGAAGTACTCTGCACAAACTACCATCTGGAGTAATGAGTGAGAGTCACGTGCCTCCCCCTGCCCCCCCGCCTTCCTTTTCTGTCTGTCTGTCTGTCTTTCTTTTCTTTCTCTTTCTCTCTTTTTTCTTCTTTCTCTTTCCTTTTTCATTCTTTCTCTTTCTTTTCTTCCCTCTCACTGTTTCTCTCTCTCTCTGTAAGAGGAACCCTTTAGGCTAGCGAAGGAGGAGGAAACGATTATAATTGGTTCCTTAAGAACTTCCAAGCCTGGCGCATGCCATAATCCCAGCACTCGGGAGGCTGTGGAAGGAGGGTTCTGAGTTTGAGGCCAGCCTAGGCTTCATAGCAAG